AATTAACAGGTACCGCTGGAATTGATATTAATAAAAAATTACAAACAGTTCTCAACAAAAACAAAGGATTTCAAATTGTTTGTAATATTTCAAAAATATTAACTGGCGAAGAAGAGAATGTAGGTGATTTGGATATACCAGAAGATTTAACCAGTAGCGACATGGCGTATTTTAAGTTTGCACCAATAACATCTGCAGATGTAGAACGATCGTTTTCTTTATATAAGAATATATTGGCACCAAACAGGAGGTCTTTCAAGTTTGAAAATCTCAAAAAATCATTAATCGTACAATGCAATAATTACTTTAGAGGTAAAATAATAAATATTAAATTTATATTTATATTTATATTTATTTTTTTTTTATAGATGCCGTAAATGACGATGATCAAGATCGCAATTAATTTAAATTTATATAAACATGTAATACCCATAAATTTTTAACAATTATATTTAGTATTTAAAACAATAATTTTTGTTTTTTTTTTTTTGTATATTTTTGAAAAATTAGTACATATTTTACGAAATTTTAATAGCATATTTTTATGCATGTTTTGATATTTTTAGTGCATATTTTGATATTTTTAGTGCATATTTTGATATTTTTAGTGCATATTTTCATGCATATTTTGACATTTTTTAGTGCATATTTGCATGCATATTTAATAGTTTTTTGGTGCATTAAATTCACAGCCCTGCTTATTATTGTACTCGGAATACGATTCTGAGCGGTCTGTCAACTTAATATCACTAAAGATATTTCAAAATTTTTTTTATATAATTATTAAAGCATCTAATCTATTACACTATTAGAATATTTGCAATAGGTAAATAGGTTGTTTTAATTTTTGCAGAAAATATTGCATTTATTATGTTATTAATATTAACTTTTGAGTCAATACTACCTATTATATTACCGCAAAACGGTGTGAATAAGTTAAAATTAATCTAAATGTTTTAAAAAATGTCATTGTATAAAATAAAATACATGTAGAAGTTTCTAGTAGGTACCCACAAATAATGTTTTTAAATTATAATAAAATATTAACATTCATCATTTAAATATATAATTTTATAATAATTTGAAAATTATATGACATATGTACATAAGAAAAAAAAATTGTGTTATGTTTTCATACATTCATGTAACAACAATTTATGTAGAATCTAGTTTTAGATATTCAGGAATTTTGAATCAATGAATATTTTTTTAGTCATTTAAATAAAAAATAGAAAAAAAAAATGAAAATTTCAAATGTCCAGTTTAAAAAGTCAAAATAATCAGAAAATTAAACTAGTTTTGATAAAAATTTCAAGTAGGTATCTAGTTTATTCGTAGTAATAACAACAAAAAAACAAATGTATTATTAAATCACTACATTTGTCGCTCCGCTTAAAAACACATCAGAAAAAATATCATTTATTAAAAATGTCAACTAATTATTGTTATACTATAGTATTGCGGAGTGTGAGTGTATGACTACATTATAGTCATTGACTATAGAGTTCTATCAGTTTTATCAAACCATATATAATAAAATAAATTCAAAGGATAATAAATTACAGACATATTTGTTTTATAATAATTAATAATAAAACACTAAAAAAGAACCGACCTATCGGGATATTCTAAATTTTTAAATAGGCCAATCTGCCCCTGGATTTATAAATGGGTATAGCTTTTCTTTTCGTCAAATTGCCATCTGAGAGTGAACTGTTTGCACATAGTTAACTCTCATATGTATATTTAAAATACGCAATCTTCATATTTCATTAAATATTTTTATAGAATATTTATTTATGTACAAGTATTTTTAATTCATTGTACAAATATTTTAATTTATAAATTAATGCTTAATAAGTCACCAATAACAGTGACCCACTCAACACGTTTTAATATACAACAGTCAGCAGAATTGCTATCCATTTACTTACATTTTATGACAATAATTATGATTTTTTCTGTTTAAAATGATGAGCCCCATAAAGTCATATAGACATGATGGACTCTTCACTTTTGCCGTTCTTTAGTAATGGCCAGTCCGATTTTATCCATGCTTAGGATATTAAATAAATTATGTGTTAAAGACTTCAAATCCTTCCAAAAATATTCGATTATTTGTGTCTACTGTTTATGGAGTCAATATAAGCTGTAATATTATGGTGTCTTCCGATTTTATGTCAAATGTGATTCCGTTGTAAAAAATCTTTTAATAATAATATACTTGCGTTGACTAAACTTAAATAAATGATGTCATTTTTAAAAGATAGTTTAATACTATGCAAGGTTGTAAATTTAATGAAATAAAAAACTATTAAATAAACATGCAAATATGTACTAAAAAAAATGTCAAAATATGCAAAAATAATATTTAATATTTAAATGTTTTGATTATTATTTGATTGTTGAGCAGCTGAGCTATCTAAGATTATACTAGAGTAGCTAATAATAATAATAAAATGGTTTTCATTTTTTTTTTTTTTTAATAATATAGTTGTTGAAATTTTAGTTTTAATATTACAATTGTAATTTTTGAATCTTAAGCTAGGTTTGATCTTCATCGTTAGTAACACTCACAAAAATAAAAAAATATACTAAGAAAAGATTCCATTGCTACATTTTAAATTAAAATTTTTACCTTATAAGTTATTATTGCATTGTGCAATTAATGATTTCTTAAAATTTTCGAACTTGAAAGACCTCAGTTTAGTGCTAAGATATTTACCTATGTACCTACAGAGAAAATGAGCGTTTTACTTCTACCAATGTTATTGCGGAGCAAACTTGAAATATGTAATGTTACCAGTTAATATTTTTGAAATGTCATAAACAATTTAAAAATTATTAAATATACATACAATTTAAGTCATAGAACTGGTGACATACAGAAATATGCGTTTCATTTACATTTTACGTATTTATATATTGAATTTTATCAAAAAAATGTACATAATGATATACTAATATCTTTTTTTTTAGACCAAAAAAAAGCATAATACGGAAATAAAATGAAAATCAGTATTATAATGCTCTAAGCCTATAACCAGCTAAATATGCAGTAATATGCAAATACATTACATTCATAGTCTAAATAATAAGTTATTGCTATCGACACGGTTATATTAGTTTTATTTAACGCTTTTGACAATATTGACATTTGACAAGACCAAAAATACTTTTAAATCATATAATACCTAGGGAAATGAACCAAAATAACAACAATTAATAAGAATTAAAAATAGCCCCATATTCATAAGAAAGATCAAAAAATGTCTTTACGATCATTGGCGTGCGCAGGAGCAATGCCAGGTATGCTATAGCGGTCTGCGGAGCTAGCTAATCTTTTGTTTTTTACACTTAAGCTAGGTATTGACGTATAGTTTATAAACAGTATAATAAACATAAATCAGTTAAGAAATATTGACAGTTGGGCTTATTGATTTACAAATTGATGAATTTAAGAATTTATATCCTTTTGACTGAAGATTAAAACTATAATAAAATATTAGGTAAATTAAATTCATATAAATTGATAATAAATTTCAAAATTAAAATTATATTTTTACTTATTAACTAATGTTTTGTGAATTTTGTAATTGTGTAAAATTTAATTTAAAAAACATTTTTGATTTATGATGAGTTAAAAAGTTTGTGTACACCTATGCATATACGATATAACTTTTATAATATTGATTCACATTAATATTTAACTTCTAAATACCAATATCTTTATATTATTATTTGTATCATAAAACGAGATACAACTATACGAGTAACCATAGTCCATAGTATATAACGAGTATAAAATAAAAACTTGCCACGTTTCATTGAGTCGAAGGCAGGAAAAGTGATAATAATGACACTCGGGTGAAACATATTTATCAGTTAATGCATGTCAAATTGATTAATTGTCAGTAATCAGTGTATCTGCATTCCATATTTGTTTTAATATCTATTTGAGACTAGAATATTTCAAAATATATAATAAACTAAAAATCTTATTCTCATTTTCAAAAACGTTATATCGTTTTTCTAAAGGCTACCAAAATTAAATTTTAATAACAATTACTTAATGTTTTAACTAATAATAAACGCATTTAACATTTAGGGCTAGGTTTTCAATTGACTTAAATAAATTTACCCATAATTGTGTGATTTAGTTAAAATTTGAGCTCTGATTAATAATAATTTCCATCTTTCATTAACTCATTACAATTAGTATGACGATGTTAAATAACTCCATATCTATATTTAAAAAGGCATCACACACGCACGTAATCAGTCTTATAAAGTAAATGGCCAATTTTACGTTTACTACAATTCACTTTCCTCTGTAGTTTGTATACTTTAAGGGAATTAATTTATTAGGTAATCTAAAGGTAAGATTATTATCCGGGATATATTAAATTGTGTTATAGATGATTTCACTTTGAAGCGAGAATTATGGTCGTTTAAAAATTTACGAAAAAAATGTTCATGAATTGCACAAAATATTGTATCACTGGTCAGCACTTCAGTAGTTGTAAAGAATAAAGATGACGGTATCATGTTGGAATTCGGCGATCGACGATTAGATTGTGTTCACGGTGAATAACTGACGTAGGCTGTGGCAGATTAACTACCACAGTAACACGGTAATGTCGACACGCCTTTGAACAAAAATTCAAGTTGTTCGTCAGTGATATAAGAAAGGAAAAACGGTTAGCCTCTGATGGAAAATGTTTTTGACTATGTATTCGCCGAACTGCCGTTTGCACGTACGCGAGCTATAGTAATTTTTCAATCGTAGTGACTGCCGATTTGCGAGACGAATAAAATTACAATCGCACAACGCCCTGCAACTCGACCTATATCGTCGTAATCAATATTTTTCGATAATATAAATTAACGATACTGGGACTACGTCCGTCGTTTGCAAACAAAATGAGGGAACAAAAAATAACAAACACATAATAATAATAATATAGTATTTAAAATGTCGTGTACAATAATATTTTGGTAACGTTTATTTATTCATGGCACAATATGAGTAAAAATATAAAACACAAAATAGTTGATTGACAATAACAATATTGTCAGTGTTATCGCAAACTGGAAGCCGTGAGGTTGCGTGATGTCAACTACAGCTGTTGTATCTCGGATCACCCGTGCGCCGTCGTCGATTTTCTGGTATGAAGTATGAACTATGAACTGTTTTCGTTATCGCGTCGCGGACAGCACTGTAAATAAGATACGCGGAAAACGGTGCAACGATTAAGGCGCCTAACGCGATCAGACGACAGTCATAACTCATTGATTGAAGAGTGCTGAGTGAACCATATTTTATTAAAATATGAACGCAGTCGTGACAGCGATTGAAAATTGCACGACAAACGAGTAACAACAGTAACAACAGAACGCTTCGAACGAATTCTAAAGACTGCTGTGCTGACGAACGCGGTTTAGTTTTAGTGTTAACCTACCGGCCATCTACACCCCCACCATCGTCACTACCCTCCCAAAACTAAAACTACATCGTAACCGTAGCGCTATTGCGTCCCGACGACGGCGGCGGCGATAGGCTACAGGCACCGCACCGAACCCCGCTCACCGACGGTAGGTCAATCGCAGACCGCAGTCTCGTTTGCAACTCCGCGGTCTATCTACGTGCTACGACCGAGACGCTGACCACAAATGACGATTATTTTCGAATTCACGATGCTTAGTCCACAGTGAACACGGTCTTACCGTCCATTTTTTTTTTTTTTATTGCTCGTCCGTCGTTACGCCGCTGTCTCGCAAAGTCGCGACGCGCGGTGCATGTGTTTCGGCCGTGCGCACAAGTGTCAGTCCGTCGCGGTTCGCGCCAGTTGGTATTGTGTTAGCCGCACAAGCTCGCCTCGCCCGAAAGATTTGTTCCAAACTCGGTTAGCTCGCGGGTTTTCGTCGTCTCGATCATGTGATCGGTTTAGCACGTGTTTGTTTCCGCCGTCGGTGGTATTAATTTTCACGCGGTCGTTTATGTGCGACTATGGTGTACCATAGTCGTGCTATCCGAACATTCCGAATCAGTCAATTAGGCGATTTACTTGACATATCCGCAACTTCGTCATCCCCCTTCCCCTCCACATCGTCCTCTTCTTGAATAGCCGCCATATTTGTTTGTCGTACGCGCAATCCATCGGTTCATTTGCCGTCGAACCGTGGTAGCGTGAGTATCTGCGCCTGACTTGGTTACCTTCCGAGCCTGTTTCTTTCGTGGTCATGGAAGACGCCGAAGAATCGCCTCGGGACGAGGGCCAACCGTCTCAAAACGACGATCCCGTTCCCGAAGGTATGTTGTTTTCTTTGTCCCGTGATGGCCTGGTTTTAACCTCGCTTGATATATTTTGTCCCCAGAAGATCAACATTACTTCGACAAATTGCTGTTGCATCTTTGGTCGTTCTTGCCGTTTCTCACTAAAGTGATCGATAGCAGCGAACTGTTGAAAATTCAACCCGATCAGGTGCCCAAGTTGCAGTATTTGTATCAACTGGTGGACGCCAAAAGGTTAGCGTTTTACCTTAACCATTTATAATTTTTGTTAGTTATTTTTAATTTTTAAATTGGATAAGTGTACACACCTGTGTTTGGGTCGTCTGTTCTAAATTTAAATATCGTACATTATGTCTTTTTTTAGTTTAGTTTAGATACAGGAACTAATGACAAATGGTATTTGTGAAAGATTTTGAATGCCTTAAAAATAAAATCATTTTTAATACAAAAAAGTAAAAATGATTTTAATAGAAAATTTTTGGTTATTTAGTGTAGCTGATATTACATTAATACATGTTGATGTTCATGGTATATATTTTGTTAAGTACAATTTTAATTTTGTGTTATCGAGTCTTTTTCATTTTAATGCAGATATCTACGATTTATATGGTAAATTATAAGAAAAAAAACTTATGTTTATCAGGTCATTAATGCATTTGTGGAAGGTTAACTTTTAAAAATATATAATTACAAATTACTGTGCTTAAAATTATAATAAAAATTAATTAAACTAGGTACTTCCTTAATTAACCATCGTTTTAATATTTTTTGGCTATATCTTATTTAACATTTAAGTTTTATATCCTAGATATAATGTATTATGGTGTTTCAGATTATTAATGGGTTTGGATTTATCTTGTGATTTATGGTAAATACTATTTTGAAATTGCACCCTTTAATAAAGTCACTATGTAAAAATATTTTCATTCATTATCTTATATTTGCACTTATCTACTGAAAAAAAATTGTTATTTATGTACTTATTTCATTATGTAGATTCTTATTTATTAATATAATTATTTTATAAAAGTCAACAGTTAAATTTTTTTAACTTTAATGTTCAAAAAATATTAACTTCTTAGATTTCTTACTGTTTTTTTTCTATTATTATTAAGTTAGTAGCATATTTGAAGAGAATAGTTCAGTATTAACTCGTTTTTAATAATTTAAATTAAGCAATTTTCTTAAAACAGTATTCAGTAATAATTCAACTTTAAAATACTTATTTATATGAAACATTTATTTTCACATTATTTTAAATCCAAGTTTATGAGGTAGGTGGTAGGTACTATGGCCTAAAATTGTCTTGAAATGTTAAGCATTAATTTTGTAAAATAAAAAAAAAAAAAAACAAATACTTGAAATAGAGTTGTGTTTACATAGTTATTATATTGAATTATTATTTATTTAGTTCCCATAAATGATGTACCTATTGTGTCAATAATAAATATATTTGGCAAATTCTCTTTTTTTTTATTTTTAACACATTGAAAAGATTGTTTATTTTAATATTCAAAATCATTTCAGATAATGGTTGAATTGTTAATTTTTATTTAATAGTTTCTTAAAAATTACTATATTGGTATGTAAAGAATAAATTAACGGAAAATAAATCATTGTGGTGAAATATATTTTATTATTTTATGAAATAAATCTATTAATACTTTTATCAACCACCTTAATATATTACATATTATTACACTTTATTTCTTCTGTATTTTTCTTTTCGTATTTTTTTTTTTTTTTTTGTAATATTCATCATAATATAATTTAAAGTTAAGATTTAGAACAGTCAATTGAGTATTATATTTAGTATTAACTATATTATGTTAAAATATTTCTAACATGTTAATTTTATTAATATTTATATCATTATTATTTTTCCTAGGTTGTCGCCAGATCGATTAAAAATTTGTAAAAAAGTATTTCACGATTTATATGATAGATACAGTAGTCAGTTAAACTACGTAAGTATTTTATCATTAGTCTTAATTTAGTATAAGCATTTTTTGTTGTAATATATAATTAATTAGTTGTTTGAATAAAGTTTAAATGATGTTTTAGAACAGATTTTTTCCTTTTACATTTTATTTGTTCGTTTAATTCAAATATCTTGAATAAATATATTATAGTTGATGATTATGACATATTCAACATACACTAGTTGTAATGTTTTTATTTTAACTTATATATCTGAACTTTCACAGTATTTGCCTCCAGATTTTAAAACTAGTTGGCTGAAAGAAACCAAGTTAAATGACAATGAACATAAAGTGTAAGTAATAGTGAACACTTTTTATGTATTATTCATTTTTCTTATCTAATTGCGGTTTCAAATTAAATTATAAATATAAGATTTTATTAATTATTATTTTTGAATTAAATATTTTCCTTGCAGATCTTCAGAAGTAAAATGTTCTTTTATTAAAAGTAATCAAAACCAAAATCGTAAGTCTGAACTTTCAAATAATATATCAGTACCAAGTACTAATCACGATAAGATGGTAAATAATCAACCAGATTCTCTAGAAGATTTAACATCAAAGAATGAGAATACTATTGATAAAAGCTCAAAGAATATTATAATTAGCGAATCATCTAGTAGTAAAAATTTACTTGATGATAATTCGCCTAAAAAGAATTTACCTGAGTTTTCAGACAGCCGTTTAAGGCTTAATAAAGTAATTGGTTTTGCAGCCAATGCTTCCATTGAAAAACTTAATAAGTCTGATGCATCTATTCCACGTGCTGAACTTACTACACAAATTTTTAATGATATCGTCAAACAAAAAAACAATCCAGTTCTTTATAAGGATATGTTGAAAGGCATCAACATGGACGATATTGATGTTAACTATGTAAAAGAGGTAATAGAAGGTATAAAAAAAGCTAGTTGTGTAGAACCTGTTCAACCGCCACCATTACCACCATCAGATCTCATGGATTTGGGAACGTCAACAATAAATTTAATATCGACCACTGAACAAAATCCCCATAAAATAGTTACTCCTGATAATATTTTATCAAGTAAATCTACAAGCATTAATCGTCCACCATCAGACACTGAGTTAAATACATTGCATAAGACTGGTTCATCAAATGATACAAGTCAAAAGTTTATATCAGCATTAAAACCAGGTACATTAATTGATCTTGTAAATTCAAAAGTAAGTCGTACTTCATTGCATATTGAGTCTCTTAGACCAGTTATCAAAGCAAATGGAAAAAGTAATGATAATAAAATATCTGTTGCTGACATAAATGTACCCCGTGATCCAAGAATAAGAAATAAATCTTTATTAAGTTCTGAAAACAGTATTAGTCCAATTAATACACATGCTTCATTAGTACAAACTGCTTTTTCAACTAATTCTCCACATCTTTTTGCTTCAAATATAGACAATTCAAATTCCATATTTGAGACTAAAGCACAGGAAATTTCTGGATATAATGGTTTAAGTCTACCAAATCATACGAATAACCAACTGCTAAATCTACCGTTTCCTTCAGAACATAATGTTGGTGGTTCTATTCTGTTTAAAAATAGACCATTGTCTCAAAATCAAAACAGACAAAATCGTAATGATTTTAATCAATTCAGTAATTCTAGCCAAATACATGTTACTCCATCCCATAGTGAACCTATGGTAAAATATTGTGATCCAGTGCCATACAAGTCTCACAGTAATGATACAATTTCTAAGAGAGATCCTAGGTCATTTAAAAATATTCCAGTAACAAATAGAGTTCAGTTTCCTAATTATAAAGAATATAGAGAAGCCAAATATGGCAAAGAACAAAATAAAAGTTTTGAAAAAAATAAACAAATGAACCAAGTTCATGAGAAAATTGAAAAAAATAACATAATTGATTCTTCTTATAATACTTTTGGAATTGTAAATGAAACAGCTAATATTAAAGGTTTTAAGATTCCAAAAATTAAACATAATGGGGATCTTGTAGATAATAGTTCAGTAAAGGACTCTAAAACTAAAGTGGTTGAGAGTAACAAAAATAATGCAGATATCTTAAATACTGAGAAAATTGTCAAAGTACCTAAAAAAACAAATCACTTCTATCACGCCTTAAAACAATGTACAGTAGATGGTCAGAAAACTGAAATAATAAAAAGTAATGATTCTAAAAAGGACACCAAAAAAACTGAAAAAATCAATAATAGTCATACTGATAAAAACATGGAAATCAAAATAACTGAAAATAGTAATACAGATAGAAATCTTCAAATGAAAACAGCAGTTATTAATAAACCGGATAAAGATGAAAGTTGTCCAGATATTAACCTTGAAAAAATTACTGTTAACATTCCAAGTAAAGTTGATGATAAAGATAAACTTCCTAAATTTGAACAAAATGATAATTTAATAGAACCTACTAAACATAATAAGCCAAAGAAACCAAAAAAATATTCTAAAGAAAAAGAATTTGAAAAAATTGTAAAAGAAGCCGTTGAAAATTCATATAATGATGCATGTGGTCCAAGAACTAGAACAAGATGTTCTCTATTGAAAAATAAAGAAACTTTAAAAACTTCCAAAGTAAACAACTCAAAACCTATGTTTGAAAAAAAAAGTTCATCGAAAAATAATAAAAAATTGGAATTTGGTGAATGTAGTAAGAATCTTGATGATAATTTATCAATTCCAAGTATGATAGATGTTAGTGAATCAGTTGAAATTGGACATAATATTATATCATCTACTTCAAAAGAACAATCAGAAGTTGTAAATTCTACAACAAACGAAATCTTGTGTAAAAGTCAAGAAGAAAATATAGTTTCATCTAATGAGATTAATTCTACAGCAGATAACCCTAAAATTAATGAAAAAGTTTTAATTGACATTTTGAAAAATCCAAAATTTATGACTGTCATAAGTTTATTTCAAGATGAAAATAAATTGGAGAAACTTAACAAATTGTTAGAAAGTTCAATTGTTGGTAGCAATGATGATAAATTAAATAAAAATATATCAAATGAAGAACAACTTGATATTGACAGACAAAAAAAGATTAAAAGAAAAATGAAAAAAGAAAAAAAGAAACAAAGAAAAATGAAAAAAATTCTTGGTGAAGAATCTTCCAATGAAGAAAGTTTAAATGATATTTCAGATGATAATAATTTTAATCAAGCAGAAAACATAGTAATAACTAAAAAGAAAAAGAATATGAATGAATTAGATGAAGGTAATACTAATTCTGGAAATATTCTTGGTTATTCATCAACTGAACAACATAAATTAAAATCTGTTAAACGTAAAATATCTAATGAAAGCTATGGAAATTTTGAAATTCTTAAAGATAAATGCAAACCTGAATTAAAAGACCTTAAAATTGTTATTGCTAAATTTGATAAAAATATTAAAAGAAAAGAAAACTGTAGTTCAGATATTACCAGTACAAGCAATGATAGACTAACCAATAATGAACCAATAAATGTTGTAAAAGCACAAAAAATAAAACCTAAAAAGCCATTTTTAGGCCCATTAAGTGTTAAATTAGCAAGACAAAAAATGGAAATCAAACAGAATAATTCTAAAAAATCATTGAACAATAAGAACCAATTTAACTTTAAAACTAAAACAAGTGAAAAGGGATTTTCATCATTTTCTAGTGATTATAAAAAAAATGGAAAACTACTTACTGATACCTTGAATAGTATGATGAACGAACAACCAGTAGTTATATTACATCCTTTAATAAATCCTGAAGCATATGATGAAGTTGTTTTCAATAAATCAGTTGTACAGAATCCTAATACATCAACTGTTATTGAACCAAATGTTAATGTTAACAAACCAGAACTCAAAAAGGCTAGGTTGTCAGAATTAGATAAACTTCATGCTGATATTAGTGAAATGTTTGATTGTGATGCTGTGTTAAATGCTTCAAATATACGTCAATGTAGAACCAATAAACAAATTGATTATGTAAATACAAGTGTAGCTCCGTCAAAGAAAAAGAAAGCATCTAATATTGAACAATTGGATTGTAACGATGATCAAAACAAGTTAATTTGTGGTATAGAAAAACCAAAAAACACAAAAAAAAAAGTCAAAAAATCTACACTTAAATTAAATACAAAGAATAAATGTGTTAAAGAGTCAATGGCAAACAAAACTTTACCATCAATAATTGTAAAAACTGCAGTTTCAAAAAAAGTATCTGATAAAGAACCGAGTAAATTAAAAAAAAAAAAAAAGGAAAACAAGAAATCAAAGAAGTCTAATAACCAATTGAATAATTTCATTAATAACGTGGTTTTGAATGATGAATCTGAATTGAATAATCTGTCTAGCAATAAAATATCTACTGAAGTAATGCCTAAAGTTTTATCAGAAAATGAATTTAAAGACAAATCTTATTTTCAAACTACTGATAACATTTTGGAATGTAAATTTTGTAATTACAAAGATAAAGGATTAAATATTGTTCGTCATTATAAAGACCAACATCGTGGAGAGGAAGTATTACCGTCCAGATTGCCCAAGAATTGTACTGAATTATTAATACATCAGTCAATAAAAGAAAATTTTGGACATCAAAATTCCCAAGATTCAAAACCATTTTGTCTTGGGTCTGTAAATGTTAATTATACTTGTGTCTTTTGTCAAGTTATTTTTCATGATTATTTTAAATTTCATGATCATATAACTGGTCATACTGGAGAATATAGATTCAAATGTAAAATGTGTGATCAAATTTATTCTAATGAAGATGAATTGGATAAACATATTTTAGAACACACTGACTATGATAAAACTAATGGAATTTCACATCTAATATATCCAAATCCAATGTGGAGTAAGATAGTTTTTGGATATTTATGTTCCTTTTGCTATTATGTTCAACTTAATTACAAAAATATGGTCAAACATATGACATCGCGACATTTTTATGAAGATAAAAAATTGAATGGTCATTGGACAGTTATACGTATAAGTATGTCTATGGCAGATAAAAATTATATTGATTCTTTAATCAATTTAAATAATTTGGTAGGATGTTTACCTCCTACACAGGCTGATCAAGTTATTTCTAAGTATAATGACAATGAAGATCAAAACCAACAATTAACTGTAAGAGATATAAATATTCTACCAAAAGAGCAAATGCAACTTGATTCCGTTTTGTCTATTAAAAAAGAATCTAATAGACAAAATATTAATGCAATTCCACCAGTGTCAATTATTGACGAGAATTCATCAGAATTATCTATTTTTGAAAATCCACCAGACTTAACTATTGAAAATAATTCAGCAAAATTAACTGTTGTCGAAACTCCTTCAGAGTCAAATGTTGATGAAAATCTACCAAAAGAGCGAATACAACTTGATACCATTTTGTCTATTAAAAAAGA